AAAATCTCTGTGATGACAAAGCTGCCCAAAATGGGATTTACTGTGTGTCCTGTTAAACATCGACAAGGAGAGAAAAAAGTGCCGTATTCAGCCAAGGCAGCAAATAGTTGTCATGTATCACACACACACACACACACACACACACTCGTTTTCATATCTTAGTGGGGACATCTCATTGACATGCCGCTTACCCTAACCATCAATAATCCGAACCCTCAGCCTAAACCATAGCCTAACTGTAACCCTGACACTAAAACCACATTCTGAGCCTCAAACTCGTGGGAACGGGCGTTTTGTCCCCATAAATGGCTGTTGGTCCCCACAAGTATAGTAGGATGACAATTTTGTGTCCTCACAAAGATGTCTAAACATGCACACAGAGTAGCTGACATATGTGCGCTTCACTCCCCTGAGTGCAGTCTGAAAGGACAGAATCAAAAGAACCCACAACGATGGATCCATCGTGGAAAAGCTGTCACTGCTTTATTGGAAGGTCGGCCCTCATCCACGCTGATCAAATGGGAAGACCCGGACACTCTCAGACATGCACAACATTTTAAGAGACTGAAGTGTCACTGGAGACCAGCAGACACACTGGCTCTACAAAAGCTATTACTGGGAGCTGTTATTAATGAGAGGCTGAGCCTTCAGCTATCGGGCACCCCCCTCATGCAAAACCAGCTCCTAGTTTGGATTCGGGAGACAGACACGCTCTCTAGTTTTAGGATTACACTCCAAACTTTCCTTTTTAATAAAGCTTACAGTGAGGGCTGCTGACCTTGGACCATCCTTCAGTTATGCTGCTGTTGCTTGTATTTCTTCTCCACTCGTCTCTTTTCACTCCCCAAATGTTTATACATCATTAAATTGTGTCTGTTATCGCCCTCTCTTTTACGCTGCTGTGTTTGTGTGAGACTGGGAGAGAGAACAACATGGTCGGGGTATCAAATAATGAGGTCAGTGTACGAACAAGTAATCCTTGAAGATTAGGCTCAAGATTAATCTAAACACTCAGTTTCAGACAAGTTTTTCTCCTCTTGCCTCTGAACGATACCAGCTATCATCATCTCAGACAAAGCTCTGGCTGTGAGCACAGAAGCCCCGCCCACTAGCTATTCAAATATTCTGTTTATGAGGAGCAGCCAATCAGAACAGCTTGACTAATAAATAAGGATTATTTTGAACTGTGAATCATGCAAAGCTACTATAGTTTAGAACAGCACATAGTGTGTGTGAGTGAGCAGTTCAGTTAAAAGGGCAGGATGAAGCTTTAAAGAACAGCCTGCTTTACCTGGTGCTTGAGGTAAGTAGGCTCCAATCAGCTTGGATCGCTTCTTCTCATAGCCCTTCTGTGTGATGTCACCTGCCATAGAGAGAAAGACAGAGCAAATTTTACTTTCTTTATTCTCATACAGCAATACCCAGTGAGAGAGCCAAAGTCAGTGTTAAGTAAAACATGGATGATCAATGTTTTCTAAACTTTACTTCAAGATTCAGAGATCATTAAAGCTGCACTGGGCATGCAAGTTTTTATGTTTTTTTAGATAAATGTTCACTGTTCCAGCTCCTACAAGCGTAATTTAAAAAAAACAATGACAAATTAACAATAAGACTGCAATGAACTGAATACATTTCCCCTGAAAAAGCAAAACAATTTAAGGTACTACAGCATTTAGAGAGATCACGGTATGCTTATTGCTTGCTTACGACCAGATGGTTCCGTTTGAATGAATGCGAATGTGCATAAATGAGGAACTCAAAGCACTGCAGGTGCAGCTGATTCACCTTTCACAGTGCGACAAACCACCTCAAAGCTTGCTGACCGATCTCCCCGAGCGATAAATCAAACCTCGCTACGGTACCATCAGCAGATTTCCACGCAGCACAAAGCACATCTGAATCCAATAGCGCTTTTATAAACGATTCCCGGCATTGGGGTTTAACCTCCGGGGACTGTCAGATCACCAGGAGGGGAGGGGCTGCTGCATTTCAAAAGAAAGTTAAGAAGAGAGAGCCAGAAAATTTGGGGGTGAATCACTGCAAAGTAAATATGTGACTGCTGAGTATAAACACACAACAGACCAAATGAGTGTGACCCCACCCCTAATTATACTCCAAGTAAATGTAGCTGGAAAAAACAAAGTAACAACTTCAGAGAAAGGCAGAAAGCCACAGAGTGAAGGATTATGGGAATTAGAGTTTTAAGAACCAACACAGGCCCCAGATTACAATATGCATTTATATTAATATTTATATAGAGGTAAATATATTATATATACACTGATAAACAGTAAATACAATATAGTCTTTATTCTATTTCTAATTCTACTCTATTTCAAATAAAGTTACAGTATAAAAGCTGGAGAGTCTGAGGAGGCTTTGTAGTTTGTGAAATGCTGAATGGAAGTGACTGAGGGAGAGTCAATGAGCCAACAAGTCATTATTGTATAAATGTATTTGGTGGAGACACTTGGATGTGCGTCTATGGGAGCTGAGGCCAGCTGATGTTCTTTATATTGTTTTTAACATTTGTTTCCATTTTCTTAAACATCACTTTTAAATATGCACTGAATATGTGCTAATTTACAAAAACCTGAAGATTTCCTTTAGCTGACATATTAGAATCAAACGGTTTTACCCTATAAACAAGCAACTATGTCAACAGCCAGAAAGAGTCAGTTTCCATCGCGCTGTTTGGGATAAAAGACTTTATAAATCAGGTTCTGAATCAAGCTTACTAGTTGATAACTTTTACAAGAAAAACGATTTTGTTGTCTTGTTAGTTTTCTGAAATATTATGTTCAATATTGAAAATGAAGCAGTATCTATCAAACGTGCAGAAACAAGCAACAAAATGCAGTGAAATAAAACCTAAATGTGTATTTTGGAGATTTTCTTTCCACTAGTCTGCAAGAAGCCATGTTATACAAGCAAAATAGCAAGTGGATGAAAAATGCATGTGTTTGCCTGAGGTGAATCAACTTAAATATGATAAAATGTTTTTACGAGATGCAAACGTCTAATTAAAATATTTGCTTTATGCATGACAAGCAGGCTCTCTACGAGTCTGCAGAGTCCACGTGACTTGATGAATTGTAGGTCCAGACAGTTTTTGGTGCTTGCAGACTTCAGAGGAATTTTCCAGTTAGGTCTGTGTGTGCAGTTGCAGGGACATTTGGATTCAACATGTTCGGAGCAAAGAGGACGGAGAGGACCGGAAGGGCTGGAGAATAGATTCAGGATGAACTTCCACAACAAACTTGTGCGCGTACCGTTTGTACATTCTGTGGGATATAAAAAAGGAGCATCGGAGCAGTGTTTGACAAGCAAGTTTGTCTCGGTGATGTTACACACTTCTTACAGTGTGTGGCTTTTTGTTAATTAAATGCTCATGTTCAATGTGCTTCGTGGTTTTAGAAAGCAGGTCACAGAACACATGTTTTCTAAGGCACGATAACAAAAATAATTACACCCATCTCCATATTTTGTTACATTTGAGCTCCACTACAGCAGCTGTATGAGAATCACAGTCCAAAATAATCCGCATTTGTCCGATACTGGGCCCTGGTGAACCCCTGATTGGCTAACACTCACAAGCAGAAGGTTTGAACAGCGGGTGGGTGGGGCTTCTGTGCTCACATCAAATGAACACATCTGCTCGCAGTGATATGATGCAGAGCCAGTGGTTCTCACATCAGTGAGTGGATGTCACGGTGGGACTGGATGACCCCCCCATACTTTCTGAGCCACGGGTGCACCGAGGGGAAAAAACTCAAACTGGCCGTTTAAAGCAGTGTGAAGCTGAGATTCTCACTCTTTTTGACTGTGTTTAGCATGAACATCCACTCTTTTAAACCAATCAGGGTAGAAAAGTCACAGTCCCTGCTTTAAATGCAGGACTCTAAAAATACCAAACATACTTCGTGCAGACTAAATGCTCTGCTATTTACATATTCTGAATTTCTGTGACGACTCTAGCTGCCGACTGATGAGCTGGGGAGCAATTTCAGGATTTCTCTGCCTGGAGGATGTCTGAGTAAAAATAAATAATTTAAAAAAAAAAAATCAGGTGAGTGTGCTTCCCAAGCAGCGAGCGACGCACGAAGCAGACCTGAGTGACGCTAAACCTGCAGAGGATTTGTCGAACACAGAAAAAGCGGTTTGCGTGGCTGACTTGACAAATCCTTCTTAAACGCACAAACGTGAGTAACTGGCTGGGATCAAGAAACCGGCTGTGGGCACAGACGTCATCTGCGATGATGTCAGCACAATGTATGTGTGTGTGTGAGAGATTTCAGTAGCATGAAGGCACTTGGCAATAATTATCATCTCTGGCAGGGGATCCAACTACCCTGCTGAGAGAGAGGAACTGGAAAATACACTGAGGGAGGTGAAGACGTGTGGGTAAACAGAGGAGGTCTGACCTTGTCTTTTAGATATTGACTTGTTGAGGAGGTGACACACAAACACTCAGTTAGCATGTTCTTGATTTAATTGGAGTTTTATCAGCAAAGCGGAGACCGAGTGAAATGAACATGTCAGTCAGCTCTGTGTTAAAAAAATCATCCACCCAGTCGGACAGGCGGTCCATCAGCCTGTCAGGCACAGAGTCAAACACACTGTGGCTGTATATTAAACTACCGCAAGATAAATGCTGTCTAATGCAATCAGGTTTTGTATAAACAGTGCATTCATGCAACTTTCCACGTTACTGCAGGTTTACACGCGGAAAATAAGAAAGACGTGCCAGGCTTTTAGGATCATGCCCAGGAAGGGGCCGCCATTGCTGCCAGCGCCGTTTTAGTCAAGAGGGAAGCGACGGGTTGGAATACTCACGCTTTTTCCTAAACGTATAACAAACCACATCAAAAAAATCTGTGAAGACAACGTTGGATTTGAAACCAAGCCCAGTGATGAAGATGAATAACAAGCAGGAACATATTAAATAAAATAGATACAAACCATACACACATAAAAAACAGTCATAAGCCTCATAATAAAACACGTACTTTTGCTTATGAACACAGCTGAGACACTAAAATGTGCCTGTGAAAGAAACTGAATGTGATTCTTTTGATTACAACAATAAAATAAAATGTTTTCACAGAGTTATAATGGCTGCTGTGACTCAGTTTTCTGGGGAAATACAGAAGTTTTTCACCTCTGAGCCTTTTTAAAGTAGGTCAGAAATGAAAAAGATGAGACACCAAGGATTAAAAAGGACAGGTAGTAATAATGAGATAAGTTTTTGTCATGAAGTCTATAAAACACCATAAAACACAGGAAACTATGCTCATCCTCAACCAGCAGTTGGTGCTGTTCAGCACCAAAACACACTGAATTTAGAGTCAAGTATCATATTACTCTGAAACTATGTTACTGATTTTGCGAGGATTACAGTTATTTTTCTGCAAGCTAGTGCTCGTGCAGGAAACCTGTGCATGCAAGTACAGTATACAGAGCAGGTCAAAGGTCAGGGCACACACTCAAACTGTGTTTACAACAGTTTCAGTTAATAAGTTGATATTTTGCCATCTTTTCTCTTCCAATTAAGTTCATCTAAGCTGGAGGATTATTTCTAGCCTCTCCCTCGATCTTAGGCGTTTGACTTGATGAGAGTTATACTCGTATAACAAACTGAAACAGAAACTTCCAAAGCAAGATCAAAAGCGAATGAGAGGTCCTCCTCCTTTCTCAGACTGGGGTGAGGAATAAAGAAGCAGATGATGAGGATGGAGGGATGAGGATCTTTAAATAGGCACAGGGGAAGGAAGGATGACTCAGGCTCTGCTATTCTGTAACTTCTTCCCTCCGTCTCACTGTCTGTCTATTTCAGTTAGAACAAAATGGATTTAGGGTGATGTTTTCACAGGTCAGAGTGAGGTGGTGTAAGCCCCGAGAGCTTAAACTGTCTCCAAACACAAACAGACACAAAGAGCTTCACATTTAGCTCAAGTGAGTCAAAAATCTAAAAGGCTAAACACAGACGAGAAAGAAGCAATCAATCCTTCAGTTCATTAAAAACCAAAACAATAAACTGGACAATCAAAAAAGAAAAATCCAGATTTTATGAATTTGCTGATTTATTGCTTTTCTTTAATGATGATGTGAAAAATGAACAACAGAATTAGAGCTCTGGAAACCAAAACCATATCTGAAAAAGAAACCTCCACAGTTTTGCAGAACACATCTCTGGAAATGTTTATGACCACAAGGCACTCTACCTCCAATCAGAAAGCACAGCGTCATGTTAGAGGGCGAGTACTTCAGCCTGCAGCTTCTTTACACATTCAAGACGCCTAAAGCACAAATGCACCAAGAGCAGAGGACGGCTCAGCACGAGCAGCGCATTGAACAGTTAGC